TATCCAATCCGGGCGGTTGTGGGGATTTTAGTGATACAATGCAGTGATAGAAACTAATACAGTGCCTAGCTAGTAGCATTCAACACTGTTCTTTAAAATAGCTGCAATTTATTGAGAATTTACCATGTGCTAGTCACTATGCTAAGCATTTAATGTGTATTATATAATTTAATACTCCCCAAAATCCTATGAGATAGATTCCCATTTTACACGTGAAACTGAGGCTTAGATTAAGTCACTTCATCAACGTTATATTGCTAGCAAATGGTTGAACCTAGATTAGAATCAAGATTTGGCGTATTCCAAAGTCTGAGCTTTTAATTCTGTATTCTAGTGTTTGAGTTCACTGTTTAGGGTGATAGAGAAGATGTCATACTGAAAATGTTAGATTGTAAAACATAATAGCACTGATGAAATGCAATTTTTAACCAAGTTGTAAATTCACTGGTCAGGTACCCCACCAACACTTGCAGAATTCTGTGAGTGCAAATTGAGGCCCAGATACTATTTGTCTTAGTATTTGAAATTTATAAATCAAGCTACCAAACCATTCAATAAAATGTGTTATTCTCTTTTCTTGATAAACATACCCTCATAAAGACCTGGGAGACAAGGTTTGAGTTTAAAATTCTCTGACTTTATGGAGTTCTCTGACAAAACATGGCAATGCGGGGAGAGTTGGCCTCCGACCTACAGAGCAACCTACAGAGTTGGCCCCTTTCCTCACCCCTGGGTTTGTTCATATGCCTGGAGTACATGTATACATGAACTTCCCACCTCGCATTTCTAAGCTATTTGGGCATAAGAAGCATGTCTAGAAGAGGCATGTCTTCTGGTTGGGCATATCCCCTTGGCACCGTGGATTCTCACCCTGTGGGAAGAGACACTGCCAGATGCCAGAGTAGAGTCCTCTGAAGTGTGGATCTAGGCAAGGGCCTCCTTTATGTCTCTAGGCAAAACTCTCCAATTTCATTTCTCTTCCAAGGGTTTAAGTTGAAAGCAATGAATAAATTAAAGAAGATTCATTAACATTCGACATTTATCATTTAAAAAAAAGCACCATAACTAGAATGGAAGGAGTGTGCATAAAAACTATAAGATGACCAGAGTGTGCATAAAAACTATAATAACCACAGCAAATTTCTTGATGAAAAATGAAATTTTCCTTGCATTAAAAAACTACAGGAAAAACCTTATCAATAGTAACTTTTTAAAACTTTCACATTAAAATTGGGAACAAGTAAAAAGGTGTATACTCGTGCATTTACCTTCAGTGTGGTACTAGAGGTCCTGGCTATTGCAATAAAATAAGAAGGGGAAAAGGTTTAAGACTTAGGAAAAAAACAGAATTCACAGATAAATCTCGACATCTATAAAAGTGGGGTATTTAGAAATTATGTGCCTCCTCGTACAATGCAAGGAAGTTCCTAAGAAGTATTCCTGCAAAAACAAATGAAACAGGGTGCCTGGGTGGCTCAGTTGGTTAAGCGACTGCCTTCGGCTCAGGTCATGGTCCTGGAGTCCCGGGATCGAGTCCTGCATCGGGCTCCCTGCTCAGCAGGGAGTCTGCTTCTCCCTCTGACCCTCTTCCTTCTCGTGCTTTCTATCTCTCATTCTCTCTCTCTCTCAAATAAATAAAATCTTTAAAAAAAACAAAAACAAAAACCGTCTAATCAAGTTTACATTTAACTGGCAGTTTACAGGAACAAATCACCATGAAGACACAAATAGCAGAATCACAAAGTGGGAAATTCTACAGGACAAATGACAGATTCTTTAACAAACGGCATGGGGTGACAAGTGGAAGAGGGGACTGTCCCATGAACCAAATGCAACCCGATGATCCTGATTTGAGCAAACCAACTGTAGAAAGGCATTTTTGGGAGAAAATTGAATGTGGAATGGGTATTAGATGATATTAAGGAATTATTTTTGGTGGGTATCATAATGGTATTGTAGTTAAGTTTTTTTTAAAAATGGAAAAAAGCTTTGTCAGGATATATATTGAAGTATTTATAGGTGAAATAACACGATATCTGGGATTTGCTTTAAAACAAAGGATGGGGTGCCTAGGTGGCTCAGTTGGTTAAGTGTCTGACTCGACTTAGCTCAGGTCATGATCTCAGGGTCATGGGATCCAACCCTGCATCAGGCTCCACCCTCAGTGCAGAGTCGGCTGGAGATTCTCTCTCCCTCTGCCCCTCCCTCTGCTGATGCTCTCTCTCTCTCTCTCTCTCTCTCGATAAGTAAATAAATAAAATCTTAAAAAAAATTTTTTTTAAAAACACTCCAGGGGAAAAAAAACAAACCAAAACAAAAAATAAAATTGTTGTGGGGGAGAGGGTAGATAAAACAAGAATGGCAAATTGTTGAAGTTGGGTGATAAGACAAAAGGACTGATTAGCTTGTCTTTTGTGTTTGTTTGAAATTTTCCACATTAAAGGTTAATTTTAAAAAGGTTACAAAATGTTAGTGTTTGCATGCAAGTTTTTCTACGTAGAAAATCCTAGAGAATTCAGACAAAATATTACAGTCACATAATTCAGCAAGATTTTTGGATACAAGATTGCTGTATAAAAATCAATAGTGTTACTACACCCCAGCAATAACCAGATTGGGGGGGGGGAGAATGTGAAAAGCAAAACTATAAAATATGGAAGGAAAATAAAAAAGAAAATATGACCTCAGGAGAGGGAAGGATTTCTTAAGCAAGTTACAAATAGCATAGATCATAAACAGAAGATTGGTAAATTTGACTACATTGAAATTAAAACCTAAAAGACAAAACCCCACAAACAAAAGACAATTGCAATTTGGGAGAAGGTATTTGCAACATATATATCTGTTAAATGAATAGAGTAGGCTAGCTAAAGATGTAGATATCATTGAGAGGAAGAAAATGCAATAGCAAATTTTGTAAGAATAGGCAAATCACAGAAGAGTAAGTAAGGTTTAATAAACACGAAAAGATGCACCATCTCTTTAATTGTCAGGGAAATGTAAATTATGGTCATACCCTTCACAGGGGCAAAAAATGTGAAAGTGACCAAATCTAGTGTTGGTGGGAATGTGGAGCAAAGAACTCATCACTGCTAGCAAGGATGTAAAATGGTATAATTTGGCAAATTTAACATTCCTACTCTATGACCCAGTATATATCTTAAAGACATTCTTGCTTGTATGCACAGAGACTCAGACAAGGCTATTAACAGTAAAAATTTTAAACAACCCAAATGTCCATTAGTAGGGAAATAAAAGAAGAAATTGTGAGATATATATGTAAATATATATATATATATGTATTTTCAAGGAAATACCATGTAACAGTTAAAGCATGAGTAGATCCTCAAAAAGTAACGTTGAATAAGAGAAATAGTGATTTGGGGGCGCCTGGGTGGCTCAGTCGGTTAAGCGGCTGCCCTCGGCTCAGGTCATGATCCCAGGGTTCTGGGATCGAGCCCCACATCGGGCTCCTTGTTCCGCGGGAAGCCTGCTTCTCCCTCTCCCACTCCCCCTGCTTGTGTTCCTGCTCTCGCTGTGTCTCTCTATCAAATAAATAAATAAAATCTTAAAAAAAAAGAAAAAAGTGATTTAAAAAAAATAAAAGTGATTTGGAGAACGAGTATGACATGTTTATGTAAATTTAAAAACTCAACACTAGATGTATGTAATAGAAGTCTATGTGGAGGGATGGAAATGAAGCAGAGGGAAAAGCAGACTTCGGTTTTATCTGTAATGTTTAATCTCTTATATTATGTAAAATCTGAAACAAAAATGGAAAATGTTAATATTTGTTAATCTTTGGTGATAGGTATGCAAATGCTTTTTCATTATCTGCACTTTGGGGATAAAAATAAAAATTTCAAAAATTAAAAAAATAAAAACTGGCAGGAGTTCAGTCATGATGATTTAAAAAAAAAGTATCTCGTGGATGCGGAATAAAAGACTTGCTGGTTTTATTTGAGTTTGTCAGTTTTGAATTTGCAGTTGAATAAGAATAGAGGCGATATATATTTCACCGTACATGAAAAGTGGTTAGTTATCTGATGACAAAAGGAATCATGTCGTTTTTTTTTTTTTCTTCTGGTTTTGGGTCCAGGGCTGTATTGACTACTGTGGATTATGCAATCTGTAGTAACCCTCCTGCCACGAGGAGTTGGGTGGATTCTGGGAAGCATTTGTTTGGTTTAGTAACCATGGGAAAGATTCCACTTGGTCCTAAAGGGATACGTGTTCTTAGGGTACTTAACACCCTCGCCGCTGAAATGCCGTAAAAAGAAATTCTATTAAGCAGCGGTCTTGAAACTGTTCTATCACACTCGGTTCAGATTTTCAGTTGGAGTTCGTGATGTGAATTTCTTCTAAACAAAACGGAATCTTAAGTTTTAGTAATAAAAAGATTGGGAATTTATTGTAGGTTGTATAGGGTAAACTCGCTGGGATTTCCACTACTAAGTGCTATGATTTAGAAACGCATTATCTAGGAGATACGTTTGAGCACGGGGAGTTCATTTTTTATATTTGCCTTGTTTAAATTTGTTTAAATAAAAGTAGGCTTTCTAGAAGTACGATTCACAGTACTGGTGTTTACCTCAGGTCCGGTGCCTGCGAAGACGTGGGTCTAACGAACGTGGAACAATAGTTGAGTTTTTCTTTCACACACTTGTGTCTACGGAAGATTTTTACATTGATAGCAAGTGATTCTGAAAATTAAATCGAATTTACTTTATTGGTCTCTGATTTTGTTCTGAGATAGTTACGCTGTGGTATTAAGAAAGATATTCAAGGAACAAGCCAGTATGTTCAGAAAGGGCTTTTACTTTTCTTTTCTTTCCTTCCCCCCCTTTTTTTTTAATATTATCAGTACAGTTTACTCAGCCAAAGTAGTGTTTATTTATTTATTTTTCTTAAAGCAGCGGGACAGACAGTGCCGAAAAGTCCCACAGGGAACTAGTTACTCGCCGATTTGTTTCAACGAGCTCAGTCTCTGACACTCCTCTTTTCGGATTGGCGCAAGTTCCCCGGGCGGTGGAAGCACTTTGTCTTCACTCGGCCACCGTCCGCGGGGCGGTGGGGAGTATTTTGTCCTCCTGCCGCCGCCGTCCGGGTTATTAGTCACCGAGTTCCAGGCCGCCGGAACGTGGGGCTTGCGGGAGCCGGCTGCCGTTGCCGGCACCATGGAGTCACCTCTTAGCCCGGGCTTCTCTCACCGAGCCGATGAGGATTGGGGTGAGTGGCGGCTGAGAACGTGCCGGTGCCGGCCGTGGGGTTCTTCTTCCTTCGCGCACTTGCGGAGACAGGTGTGGGCGAACTCTGCCCCGGGAGCCAGGGCCAGCCTGTCGCTTGCGTCCGCGGTCCTCCCTGGAAGAGTCTGGCCGAACCGGTCGGTTTCTGCCCTGGCAACAGCGAGCGTAAAATGTGGCGTGGCTGGAATTATTACCATTTTTCAGCGTTTCCGCTGGGAAGGTACTAGGTGATCACTGTGTGGGAGTGAAAAGGGCGTCGGTAAGAAGTAGAGGGCGGGATGGCTGTGACCACCCAAAAGGCCGTAAGCTGTTTTCTCAGTGTGGGGTGTGGGCGGTGATTGCCGTGGAGTGTGTCTGTCCGTGTTTGTGTCAGAGAATGAGAGTGTATACAGAGATCTTCATGTCGCAGCTGCCACTATTGATCTAGGCTGATGTCCATCTTGGCAGAGAACCGAAGCACCTGACCTTGGGCCCCTGACTACCTAGACCTAACTCTTAAAAACTGATGTAATCCTGACTGCCCTCCAGAAACACCTCTAATTTTTTTTTTTTTTTTTGCTTCGGATGTTTTTGTTTGGTTTTGTGGTCAGGAAGAGTGGAATGGAATGCAGTGGGAATCAGAGTGGGGAAATTTCGTTATCTAGGTGTTTAGAGGAACCTTTTATTCTTCTCTTTGTTCTGGGACTAATACTAATGCTGGTCTTGGGCTTCAGTGAGAATTTGGGATTGCAGAGGTCGAGTGGGCCCTATAGTTGAGCCTACGCCATTCACCCACTTTGGAACGGGGGTGGGGGGAGGAACCCAGACTGATGGTCATCTTTCCCCCTTGGAGACTATCATTCTGAGTAGCAAAGTGCAATCTCAATTCCGTTTACTGAACTGAAATTCTCATTTGACTTTTCAAGGACAGAACTTCTCTAAAATTATGACATGGGAGATTTATTTCAGCCCTTGGTGGATTTCCTAACAGTTGCTGGAAAAACTGTAGACTGTCAATTTCAAGTTTGTTATCCTGAGCCAAATGTAGTGGTAATAGTAATTACCATTTACCTAGCACTTCATTTGTGTCAGGTGTCCTGCAAGCTTTTACATGCATTATCTTCTTAATCTTCCAACATCACGAGGAGTTATTGTTAATTTACAGATGAGAAAACTGAGGCTGAGGGAGAGTGAATGTTCAATCTTCTAGCTAGTGAGTGGCACGAGGGGGATCAGAACCAGGTTTGTCTACCTCCAGAGCCTCTGCTCTTAGTCATTATTCTATAATGCTTTCCTTTTTTTAAAAAAGATTTTATTTATTTAGAGAGAGAGAAGGAGAGAGAGCATGAGAGGGGGGAGGGTCAGAGGGAGAAGCAGGCTCCCCACCGAACACGGAGCCTGATGGGGGACTCGATCCCAGGACTCCAGGATCATGACCTGAGCCGAAGGCCGTCGCTTAACCACCTGAGCCACCCAGGTGCCCCTATAATGCTTTCCTTAATTATTTCTGCAGATTGATTCTTCCCAAGATCCACCCCCTCCCAGTTATTAAAAAATCTACTTTAGAGTGTCAGGTAGTTACGGTTTTTTCTCAGTTAGTCAGCTGTTACATTTTCATGATATTTCTTAAACTGCAACTGTGGGGCGCTTCCTCAAAGCATTATTTTGTCTTCTGATACTCGGGCTGCATTTTCCTGATTAATCTGATAAATTGAGACGTAGTCCTGATGTTCTTTAACAGAGCATTAGGTTCTTTGTAGTTGTTTCACTGACCTAACTCCGGTATCCTGCCCCGCCCCTCCCTGAATGTGCCCATTTCCTATTGTTTTCCAGGCTTCTCTTTTCATACTGTTAACAATCAGTTTTGCTTTCTTCTCTTAGTTGCTCACTTTAATTCTGATTTGTTAGGTGTTCAGTAAGTAGGATAGATTTTGCAGGCGCTAAAGTGAAACACTACTTTTTTGCTACTGTTTTTCAGTAGACTATGGCTTCTTTTTCTGGGAGTTGCCATTTTGAGTATCCAAAGACTTCACTGATTTATTTGATTTTTTTTTTTTAATATTAGAAGGTGGCTAGTGATACTTAAAAATTCAGATTATGTAATTAGTACTTGTCACTCTAACAACATTGAATAATTAAATAAAGTGATTAGCTCAGAACAGCCTATGGTGGGATGTGCTTTTTCCCTTTATGGGTAATGAAATTTAGAGCTGTGGTCTACAGACATTTTCTGTGAAGGTCCAGATAGTAAGTATTTTAGGCTTTGTGGTCCTGTGGTCTCTGTTGCAACTACTCAACTCTGCTCTTATAGTGCAGAAGCAGCTATAGGCAATGTAAACTGAACATGTAAATGGGTATGGCTGTGTTCCCATACAACTTTGTTTATGGACACTGAAATCTGAATTTCACATAATTACTTTTTTATTTTGTTTTAAGATTTTTTAGTTATTTTTAAGTAATCTCTACACCCAATCTCTACACCCAACGTGGAGCTCAAACTCACAACCCTGAGGTCAAGAGTCACATGCTCTGCTGACTGAGCCAGCCAGGAGCCCCCTGGATTTCACATAATTATTTTTAATATTTAATAGGCTTTCTTTTTAGTACAGTTTTAGATTTACAGAATAATTGAGCAGATAGTACATAGAGTTCTATTTACCCCCCCCCCCATTTTCCATATTGGTAACATTTTGCATTAATGTAGTGAATTTGTTACAGTTGATGAGCCAGTATTGATCCAGTATGATTGGATCAAATGTAAAGTCCATAGTTTACATTAAGATTCCTTCCGTGTTGTACATTTTGTGGGTTTTGACGAATATCTAATATCATGTACGTACAGTATCCGACAGAATAGTTTCATGTATCTAAAAAATCCCCTGTGCTCCACCTGGTCATCTCTCCCTCTCTCCTCCTGGGCTCTGAGCAACCACTGATCTTTGCACTATCTATCTAGTTTTGCCTTTTTCAGAATGTCATATAGTTGGAATTGTTCAGTAGGTAGCTTTTTCCACTTAACAACATGAATTTAAGATCTGTCTACGATTTTTCATGGCTTGGTAGCTCTTTTTTTTTTTTTTTTTTTTAAAGCACTGAATAATATTCCATTATATGGATGTACTACAGTGTATTGGTCTCTCAGCCTGCCATAACAAAATACCATAGACTGGGTGGTTTAAACAACAGAAATTGACTTTCTGACAGTTCTGAAGGCTGGAAGTCTGAGATCAGGTGCCAGCATGGTCAAGCTCTGGTGAAGGCTCTCTTCCTGACTTGTGGATGGCTGCCTTTTCACTGTGTCTTCACAAGGCATAGGCAGGAGAGGGGAAAGGGAGAGGGAGAGGGAGAGGAGTGAAGGGAGAGAGAGGGGAGGAGAAGGGGGTGGGGAAGGGTATCTCTCTCCCTCTGCCTATAAGGCCACAGTCCTATCAGATTAGGGCCCCACTCTTAAATTGTCATTTAATCTTGATTACCTCCTAAAGACCACCCTGTTTCTGGCTACAGTCACACTGGGGGGTATGGCTTCAACGTATAAAATTTGGGGGACATAATTCAGTCCATAGCACAGTTTGTTTATCCATTTACATATCAAAGGGTATCTTGGTTGCCTTAAAATATTGGCAGTTGTATATAAAGCTGCTATGTTCATGTGCAGCTTTTTGTATGGACGTGTTTTCAGATCATTTGGGTAAATAGCAAGAAGCATAATTGCTGCATCATATGGTAAGAACATATTTAGTTTTGAAAGAAAGTTTCAAACTGTTTTCCAAAATGGCTGTACTGTTTTGCTTTCCCATTAGCAATGAATGAATGTTCTTTTTTGTTGCCCCATATCCTCACCAGCATTTGATGTTGCCAGTGTTTGGATTTTAGCCATTCTAATAAGTGTGTGTGGTAGCTTGTTGTTTTTTTGTTTTGTTATTTAGATTTGTTTATTTGGGAGAGAGAGCGTGCACGTGAGTGGGGGTGGGGTGGGGAGAGAGAGAGAGAATCTTCAGCCGACTCCCCACTGAGCCCAGAGCCTGTCATGGGACTCAGTCTCATGACCTGGAGATCATGACTGAAATCAAGAGTCACTTGCCCAACCGACTGAGCCACCCAGGCACCCCACCTTGTTGGGTTTTTTTGTTTGTTTGTTTTAAGATTTTATTTATTTGACAGAAAGAGCGCACAGGTAGGCAGAGTGGCAGGCAGAGGGAGAGGGAGAAGCAGGCTCCCCAGTGAGCAGAGAGCCCAATGGGAGGCTTGGTCCCAGGACCCTGGGATCATGACCTGAGCTGAAGGCAGACGCTTAACTGACTGAGCCACCGAGGTGCCCCCCTCGTTGTTGTTTAATTTGCAGTTCCCTGGTACCCTATGATGTGGAGCATGTGTTCATATGCTTATTTGTCACCTGCTTGTCTTTCCGCTCCTTGTCTTCTTTCCCTCCCTTCCTCCCTGTCTTGACTTTGTACAGAAACAATCTTTTACCACATGTAAGGTATATGTACCAACATCAGAAGCTTCTGTCTGCTTCTGTGGTTTCTTTTTTTGTTTGTTTAAACACATTTCTTTCTTTTTTTTTTTTTTTTAAAGATTTTATTTATTTATTTGACAGAGAGACACAACGAAAGAGGGAACACAAGCTGGGGGAGTGGGAGAGGGAGAAGCCAGGCTTCCCGCGGAGCAGGGAGCCCGATGCGGGGCTCAGTCCCAGGATCCCGGGATCATGACCTGAGCCGAAGGCAGATGCTCAAGGACTGAGCCACCCAGGCGCCCCTGTGGTTTCTTTTATATATCCTCAGTCTCTTCTGTGAATTGGCCTTCCAGCACTGACCGCAGCCGGACTCCCCCCCAGTGGCTGCTGCTTTCTCTGAAGGCTTGGTGAATGGCGGCCTTTTTGATTCTCGAATCCTTTTTGCCATTTGGGCCTCTAAAGATGGGATAGTCAACTTTCTTGTTTTTCACTGCTACGTTCAGCTCATTCTCCTTTCATCCTCCCTAAGAAACATCCAGTTTGAATTT